TGGGGGAGGCCGGGCCCTGCCGCCGCCGCTGCGGGCGGGGTTACGGGGCCGATCGGGCACCGAGACCTGTCGCCACGCGGCTCCTTTTGTTGTTCTCCTCGCGACTCTGGTCGCCGTCCGGCTGGTACCGCCTCTTCCACCTCCTGCGTGCCGCGGGCGGGAGACTCTATTCTCGGCCAGAGGCAGCGTGCTTGGGCTAAGCCCCAGCCTTCTCCACCCTTCCGAGGAGTAAAGTTGGTGTGGTTTTGGGACAGACTGCTCCAACTGATGATTTCTTCCTGTGTCAGTATTTAACCAGCAGAGTAAAAAAGCGAGGCCAGCAATTGTAACGATTTTTTTTTTTCTTGTTGATTGGAATTAATAAGAGCTATTGAAAGTTCTTGAGACTTAGAGTGTGTTGTTCATGTATTTAGAGACTGTCACGGGTCAGAGTTGTAGGTGTGATTGCTGTTCCTGTGGCATGGAAACGCTTCTTTGCAAGACTTTGTGTTCGGAATTAGGTTCCCTCCTCCCCCCATCAGAGCGTGTCTGTGGGTAAGGTGATCTGTAATGGAACACACGGTTCGCACCTACGATGAGTGTGTTGTTTTATCCTTTTCTCTGAAACAGGTAGTAGTAACAGCAGTAGAGGCAAGCTACTGAGTGGATTTGGAAGTTTCTGTTAATTTTCTAATGAGTTGATGGCAGTAAAAGGGACATTGCTACCTCTTAATGCAGGTGTGTGTTTGAGGGGAGTTAAAGCCAAACAAAATGTGAAGACTGGTCTCCTAGGCTTGTGTGGCCCCTGCAAGGCAGGGTTGATATCCTTCCTCTGGTGCAGAAGTTTGTGTTCTTTCAGTGATGTAGCGCATAATATGTTGGGACTTCAGTTCTGTTTGTTAGCAGTAAATTTTTCAGGTGAAGAAAACAGATTAGATGTGATATTAAAGAAAAAAATCAAAACCCCAAGAACTGAGGTGTTTGGGTTTGTTTGTGTGGTTTTGGTGGTGTGTGTGATGTTTGGTGTGGTGGTTTTTTTTTTTTAATTTTCACTATTTCACGTTAATAGAGATGTCTTGCATTTGCAAAGTATTTCAGAATCTTTCAAGGCCTAGACTTAATATACAGTTATTTGGGCAAGCTAGTATTCCAAAGGAAGAGAAGGAAAAAAAAAGTGCATAAATTATTGAAGAAGATAAGGTAGCACTCATCATATAATATCTTCAGGTTTAATTCCCACTTAATATCTCACTTCTTCATGCTGCTCCATAATTTCTGAGACCAAAATATAGGCTGAGATGATCAATCTCTACTTGTCCTATCTCAAGCTCCAGCAGAACCGAAGTTAAATCCTTTTACGGAAGAGCTGCTAGAGAGCATATATTGGCAGTTCATTAATAGATTGATTTGGTTTTGCAGGGATGCTTACCTAATGAGACCTTAATTTTTGAAGTGGTGGAGTGGGCTTTCAGTCTTTGTCTCTAATCTCTACCTAGCAGTAGTTTGTGACAAGGTTTTAGATGCTCATCTGCACTTGTCAGGGTAACTGAAGCCTGTGGAGACCATACCCTTGAAGTCTGTGGTCTCTCATACATGCCATTGTGGGTGTACTCTGTCAGTGTTTAAGTCCAATCAGTGCTCGTTATCAGTGCCTAACTAAGTCAAATACAGCCTTACAGTGCTGAAAGGGGGCTACGGGAAAGATGGGGGGGAGGTCCTTGTTCAGGGAGTGGAGTGACAGGATGAGGGGTAACGGCTATAAGCTGGAAGAGGGGAGATTGAGATGAGATATTAGGAAGAAATTTCTCACTGTGCCAGGAGGGGGTGAGGCAGTGGCCCAGGCTGCCCAGAGAAGGTGTGGATGCCCCATCCCTGTAGGGGCTGGATGAGGCTTTGGGCAACCTGGGCTGGTGGGAGGTGTCCCTGCCCATGGCAGGGGGTGGGACTGGATGATCTCTAAGGTCCCTTCCCACCCAAACCCTTCTATGAAATGCCTCAAGGCTTGAAATGGTGTTTATAGAACATAAAGAAATATTTAATTTGCTAGGGCACAGTACAGTGCATAACCAGTTGCAAAAGCAAGCATGATACAGAGCCTGAAAGCTTGTGGCTTTTTTCTGTTGAAAAGTTATTGGATTGGCAGCGTTTTGTGGGACATACATTGTTTATATGCCCTTTGAGAAGCTGGCGTTTCCCCTGAGGTGCATGTGATTAATTGGCTGTTAGCCACAGGAAATATAATTCATGTATTTGAAAGCATCCTGTAATATGTTTCTTGTCAGAAAAGGTACCTGCATTACTAAACCATCTGAAGAAGATTTGAATGGTTTATAAGCACAAATAATTTTCTCAAATTATTGCGGGAAGGTTAGAATTGTTGCAGTGGACCACCAGAGATGAACAGCCCAACTGAAATTCTGCTGTATCTTCAGTGGTTCACTTACATCTGTTGCAAGGGCATGGGCTCACAAAGTATTTAAAATTACTCCTTGTATAATTTGGTTAAGGGAGGAAGTTTTTGTTCTGACGGTATCTTTTCAGTGGCTCCACATCTCCTTCATCTGAACAGACTGAAATCTGAAGCGGTATGTTTGTGTTGGCTAAGTCCTGAAAGCCTTCTGACATAACCGAGATGCAGATGCGTGTGTTGGGAATTCTGGAGGAATATCGGACTGAATATAGGATGTGTTTGTGTGTGCATGTTTACTGAGTGTTAATGGTCCCTTTTAAAAACTTTATATGACATGAGTGTAACTGCTAGTTTGAAGTTGAAGTTATGGATTATGGCCATCCATGCAAAACTGACTTTGAAAAAAAGCTAGAAGGAGGGATTTGAAATACCAGCTGTCCTAGGAACCGCATAGATCTCTTAATCTGGTGCTTTTAAAGACTTTTAGTTAAGGTGTCTGTACTGCTAGGCCACTTTTGATGATGTGTAAATACTTAAATTGGAGGTGTGCTGTCTTCTAAGCTTTAAAGGGTGTAGCAGAGGATCGTGAGATGAACAGATTTACATACCTTGCATGGAACAGGTCAGTGCCTGGTAAATCTTTCCAGCATGAACATCATGCTAAAGAGCATAGCATAGACGTGTGATCCTTCTAAAGCAGGGATCTGTGTGAGCTACAGTTCCTGTGGCTGTAGTAGTAGACTGCAGCACTCCTACAAGTAATCTGTATATTAATAGAATGTGAATTTGCCATCATTCCTAACCAGTGTTTAAATGTTTGTTTTGATAGAGTGGTAACGCTCCCTTAGTTCTGTGAGCATGTGTAGTGGAAGAATCATCCTCTCCTGGCTGTCAAAGGCTTGTTAGCTGTGTGTGGAGCGGAGGACGAACTGGCCTGACTTCACCTGCCAAGTGTCAGCTCTAACTTAAAATGGGTAGAAGTGCAGGAGGGAAGAAGATTAAAAACCTTCCCTGGAGTTTGTTTTGACTGTGTGGCTGATGAAACCCTGAGCTTAGATAGAGTTTGACAATGAAAAACAAGCTCTTGCTTTGCTGTTATGGGTGGATCGAGAATCCTCCCCTGAACTGGAGAGCACCACTGTGCTGCGACTGTCCTGTCTGGAACTATTCTTGCCTCATATGCAGTAGAGACTTGTGCTCTGCGTGTTTCTTCTGCAGTCTCAGTCGCCACGCTTGGCTGTTCTGGGGGAGAGGAGGTGCAGAAAGATCATCCCAGTTCATACTGGGATTGAAAACCTGCCTTGTGGAATGAGCGGGCCACGGGCTCTCCCTTGGCTCAGGTCTGTACTGCTGTTGGTTCCTGCTGCTGTCCAGAAGTGGTATAGAGGCATCACTGCAAAACGGAGTTGATTTTTGTTAAGGTCTGTGCCTGTGTTGCTTTTGTGTAGAATACTGGCTTTCAATGGGAATTTACAGTCTAAAGATGACACCACTTATTCCCCCGTTTGCCGGAAACAGGAGCAGTGCGGGTGTTTGCCTATGGAAGAAAGCCATCATTTTGTGATGTAGTGAGGAGATGGATCGTGTTTATCAGCCAGGCAAGCAGGAAGCCTGCGCACTTTTCCCGTTACCAGGAGAGTTTCTGTGGTCAGGCTGCTGTCAAAGTCATTCCTAAGATGTGGTTCAGATTTTGTAGGTCAAGTCCAGGTACTAAGAGCTTGTTGATATGGGGAAACTTGATGTTATTCCTGATGTTAACCTCTGCAGGGTGTGCAGAAATGTGTATCGTGGCTATGGTAGTGAAAATCAGAGGCCAAAATACTTCGTGAGTGAGCAGGACTTATAAATAGATAATATAGTGTGTTGTTTAAACTGTAAGTAAAAGTTTATACTAAAACAAATTATTTTTGTTTTAGAGGGACTCTGAATATGTCTGGCATAGCTCTTAGTAGACTTGCACAGGAGAGAAAAGCCTGGAGAAAAGACCATCCATTTGTAAGTAAAAGAACTGTCAAATTTCTGATTCTGCAGTTCTTTTGGTGTTCTGATGATGAATTTTTTTTCTTTACCTTGATGTGACTTTTTTTGAAAATTAAATTATTTTTTAAATTAAAAACTTCTTAGAACTATGTAGTGTGAAAAGAAAAAAAACTCTGTAAAGATAAAATATGTCATGAAATATTCTAAGTGTATCTTCTGAAATCTTCACCCTTTGACTTTTTGCCTTAATTCAGGGATTTGTAGCAGTACCTACCAAAAATCCAGATGGCACAATGAATCTAATGAACTGGGAGTGTGCTATTCCAGGAAAGAAAGGGGTAAGATTTACTGTTGTCCTAACATCTCACTTATGGTGAAAAGTAATGTAAGCCTGCTCATGCGTCACACTGGCAGCTGAGAACATAAATTACATGTAGTGTAATGGAAATGCTTGGATCTTGCTGCCACTTCAGAATCCGTGTGGAGTGGGCTGAGAGATATTGGACAAAATGTACCATGAGCCTGTTCAGCTGTTGGCACTGACCAATCTTAAGAACAATGTTTTCCAGAGGAGTGTGTTAAGAATCCTGCATGGAGCAAACTTGAGATTGTCTTCTGCTTCATGCCAGAGTTTATTGTGACTTCTGTTCTTACTAAATGCTCCTTTAAGCCCTAAAGCTTCAAAATTAATACTACCAAAATGTTGCCTCTGCTGGTTAACTGCTGGTACCATTTTTTGTCCACAAAACAGTGAGACCCTTCACTCCTAGAGAAGTTCTGTAGCACTGTTGTTAACTTCTTTGATTTAATGGAAGATAATTCTGCATTATCAATGTGGAATCTCATTGCCTTCCGTTTATTGAATTTT